CCTGAGAGTCAAGGGCAGTTTCAGCAGAAACAGGAGGGGGCAGAGAGGGAAAGTGGGTGCAGCTCAGCTGAGGCTTCCCCGCTGGCAGGAAAGAATCCTTGAAGAGGGGCCCCAGCCTCAGGAGAAAGGGCACAGGGTGGGGGCAGCCAAAGGAAGGGATGGGCTTGGTCTCACCTAACCCTCGAGGAGCAGAGGAGCCTGAGGCAAGGGACTTTCCTAAAGTCCTAACATCACTGGGAGGGGACAGAGACCCAGATCGACAGCCCAGGGCAGGAAGGCATTGCCTCTGAGAAACTATGGAAAACGATGTCCTTGTCCAGTGAGGAAACCAGGCCCGGGGGCGGGGGAGAGCCTCACACCTGGCTTAGGCCTTGGAAGGCCTTGAGGCTGGGCAAGTCCCCTGGGCGCCCAGGTAGGACCTGGTCAGTGCAGTCCTGGGCAGACACGGAGCAGAGGGTCGGCTGGCAGGGCAAGGCCAGTGGCAGGACAGGGCCTCCTCAGGCACTGGCTTTCCCGGCCCCAGTGGAGCTGGACTCCAAGTGGGTGCCCTCTTATACCCAGCCAGTTCCGAGATTCACACTCAGGCCTTGGCCCAGGTTTCTGGACCCCTTTCCCACTGGCTCAGGCCCAGGCTACCCCAAAGACACTTATCTGGCAGAGGGCCTGAGAGTCTGCTGCCCCCCCTTCACTGCGTGGCGGCCTGGGTGGAGGGGTGCCCTCCCGCAGGCTCTCACAGACTCACACACCCTGGCTCAGGGGCTCCAGAGTGATCCTCACCCCCCTTCCTTGCCAAGCCGCAGGGACAGAGCTGCTTCAGCTTTAGGCATAAATGTGGGGCCTACGAACTTTAACAGCAAGGCCGAAGCTGGGCTGCCTGCCTGGGCAGTGAGAACCCAGAACCTCAGTGTTTCTAAGTCAAGTAGGGACAAAGTTGAGAAAGGCCTGAACCCCGCAGGGGCTGAGGACTAGGATACCAAGACAGGGCAAAGGGGAGTGAGAAAGAGTTGGAGTCCCTGGGCTTGAACAAAGGGCTGGCCAGGAGCCCAGGGAGCCAGAGCCAGAGTCATAGTGGGTGGTGAGGCTGGGCCTGGACAGAGCAGGGCCTTGGGGCTCCAGGGACCCTGGCATGGGCAGGCGGAGGGAGCAGCAGGCCGTGGCAGACCCAGCAGTCCCAAGATCTGCAGATGAGTCCTGCCTTACAGGCCACCTACCACCGGGGTCGGGTGGGGGGACCTGAGCTGGCCCCTGGGAGCTGAGCTCACTCAGATGCACACACCTCCACGGGTCCCAGGAGTGTTCCCTGATCCCTTAGGTGACACTCTCCTCTCCACCGCCACACCCCCTGCTCTCGTCAGATCCGGGGTGACGAGAAGCAGTCTGTGCCCATCCTGATACTGCAGGTGGCAGGGTCACCCGGGCACTCCATCCTCCCCACCCTGAGAGTCTGCATGGGCGTCTGGGGGCTCAGGGGGTTCTGACAGGTGTCCTTGGAGACGCCTGGTGCCTGCTGGGGTGGTGGGGGAATACCAGGGCTCACACTGGCAGCCTTCCTGGCCTGCCTACCAGATCAGGCGTTTGTGTGAACACCTCATTTCATCCACTGACAGCCCTGCAGGAGGGTGACATTTTTCCCATTCCCAAGGTCATGCTCCGGCCACTAGCAGAGCCACAGTTTGGCGTCACCCCTCCATGCCCAGCACAGAGGGCTCCCACACGTGGCGGATGGACAGGGCGAGACTTGGCGAATTCCCGGGCGGCGGGCGCCCCCTGCAGTCAGATAGGGGAGTGGCAGGGCGGAGGCCCCGTCTTTCCTGAGGGCGGCCATCTGACCTTAGAGGGTTTTCTCTCCCAGGCGGGCCTGGCGGCCACTGCGGCCATTACCCCCACTTAAGGATCTGGCCCAAGGTCACAGGCCAGCAGTGCTGGACCCAGTCTCTGCTCTCCCAGGAGGTCTTTGTCCCAGCCCTTCCCCAACGCCGGCACGCCCAGGACAGACACTCGGCAGGCAGCTTTTGGAGGCTGGCAAAGGGAATTTAATGGGCATTGGGGGGCCTCAGCACTCCTGCAAGGGGGTGGGCCAGGCCAGGGCACAGGGGGCCTCCACGCTGGTGTCAGGAAGTGAGGTTCAGGTGCTTGTGTTCCTGGCACCGCCGGGTTGGAAGGGACGAGAGCAAGGCCGGGCCTCTCCTGGGAGCCTCCTGCAGCGGCAGCCCTGGGCCTGCATGGAGCTAAACATCCCGGGGTGTGGGGGCCTTCCCCAGCCCCTCAGAGCAGCACAAGGGGAGTGACGGATTGTGACTTCAAGGGCCTGGAGCTGGGGGGCAGTGGTTACCCAGCCCCAGCCCTGCCTCACCCCAATGCCCTGTTTCCACTGGTTTCACATGGGGTTTCAAGTAAAGTGTCCTTAAATAAAGGCACCCTCCCTAACACACAAACCATGATCGTAGTCCTCGTCAACAGCTCTGTCCGGGGTGGCCAGCCCAAGGCTGGCTGCAGGGAGTGACGTAGTCTTCCTTCCCATCTCCGGCAATGTGGCCATGAGCTAGAGGCCCCTGACCCTTTTCCCAAGCCCCCCAGGTCTGCAGCCCCACCGCCAGCTCCAAGTGCACCAGCATCAGGGCCAGCCCACCCTCAGGGCTCCCTCCAACCCCTGCACAACTCACACACGCCCCTTTCCCAGCACGCATGCACGTGCATGCACACACACCCCGACATGCTTCTCACCTCCTGGAGAGCTGCAGCCTCGCCACTTCCTGGGGGACCCATCCCTGGTTTGAAGAGACCCAGAGGCTGGGGCTGGGGATCAGGGTGGGCGTGGGGACCAACAGCAGAGGGGCATGCCGGGGAGGGCAAGTTCGATAAGGGGACCCAGCCAGGCTCCACCTCTCTCTGCAGCCAGACGGCTTCAGCCATGTACCTGGGGAGCAGCAGGCCAGATGCCGGGTCATGGCCCTCCTGGCTGGGCCCCTGCCCCTCTCAGCTTGGGGAGCAAACAGCCCAGGGCTTGCCAGGGAGCTGACGCCAGCCTCAGGAAGGCTGCTGTGCCCTCTATCCCATTTATTGAAGCAAGGACCCACCCTCAGAGGAGGGGGAGTGTGAAAGGCTCCAAGAGACAGCAGGGCCCTGGAAGGAACCCCCGAGAAACAGGCACCCTGACGTCAGGTCTGGGGGCCATGGTGGGGATACGGAGGAGGCCCGCTTCACCCCCCCCTCCCCCTCCAGCCCAGGAAACACCAGCTCCTGGGTAGTGACTCACTTGGGTCCCAGCGGGGCACACATGGTTAAGTACCAGTTGCTGGCACAGCCCTGGTCAAAAGGGTTGTATCCCTGAAGGTATCTGCACTGGAGGGAGATAGGGACGGCCAGGGGAGCTCAGAACCAGCAGAACTGGGCCATCACCCCCACTGGTGACCCTCCCCAAGCTGTCAGCCCAACCCAGGGCTGCAACAAGACCCCAACGGCAACCAAGGGGGAGAGGAAGCCTGAGGCCTCTCCCTTCCTGGGCCCCCCACCCCAGCCCCCCACTTTCCAAGCAGCTCTCTCCAGGGGAATGCCAACACTGTGACTTCTTGGGGACACCCTATCATCTGGACCTCCCTTTGCAGCACCCTTCCCGTCCGTCTCCACTGGTCACACACACCTTCCTGCTGGCTCCTTCCAGGTTCATGCTCAGACCTGTCATTTGCTGCTAAACTGCTCGGAAGACAGCTCCACCTAGGCCGTCTCAGGGCCCTCACCTCTCATTTCCTTCGGAACTCATGCTTTCCCTGAAAGGGCAGCTGTGTGGGGGCCCCCAGGAAAATCGGCTGCGGGCCTCCAGCCCGCCGAGCAGTAAAGGGCAAGTCCCCCGCTGGACATTCTTGACCTGGTTCTCCTCGTCTGCTCTGTTCCCCCGACCCCTGCGCTCACCGGCCCATGTCTTCCTAGACCCCGTCCTTCCCTGGGCAGGCCAAGCCCGACTTCCAGAACCTTAGCTACCAAAGGTCTGTCACAACCGGAGGTGTGACAGGTGCAGCAACACCTCTACCCATCACCAAGCCCCCTGTGCCTCATGCCACGCCGCCAAGACCTTGACCTGCAACACGCGCTCCACCACAAGGAGCCAGGCCTCCAAGCAGGACCGCCGACAACATGGACGGAGACAGGGCGGCTCCGAAAAGCCCACCGTTGCCAAAAGCAACTCACCGCTCTGCTTGCTATTTGAGGATCTGCCTACTTTAAAAGCATTAAAGGACCTAAGAGAAACTGGTATTTATGAGTAAGTTGAACTGATTAGTTAGGGGATTGATTAAGTTTACAGAATTTTTAAGTTTAGAGGAAAATTCTGAATATTGGAGGTACACAAAGTATATAAAAACAGTGACTCTATGCGAGGTACAGAAAAGCGCCTAAAGGAATGATCATTTTTTAACAAGTTCCTAAGAACTGGCCGATAACTCTGAGCACCCTCCTCTCCCCACTAGGCCCTGCTGAGGCGTGAGTGGGCTCTGACCCCTCTGAAGCGCCTGCCCCGTCCTCGCTCACAGGCTCCCGCTCCACGTCTGTGCCTCACGCGCTCTCACACGGCAGGACCCAGACCAGGTGGGCATCTCCTTGCCCCACTGCCCCCCAACTCCCAGCCGTCCCCTCGCCCGCTTCTGAGCCAGGGATCAGAGCACAGTCTCCCCTCCCTCTCTTTCTCTCTCCCAAAGTGGTTGTTTTTTTGTTTTTGTTTTGCTGTAGGGGACATGCACTCACTTAAGAGAGACACAGAGAAGCAAAGTGAGAAATCACTCCCTGGGTACGGGGGTAGGGCCAGTCAATCCCTTCTCTTCATTCTCTTTTTGGGATTTTTGGGTACGCAAGCACACACACCCAGCATGTGTTTTCAAGCTGCCAGGTCCAGGACCTGGCATTTTAACCACCACACCATCTTAACCACCACACCACCAGCTGGTCCTTCCTGTTCATTTTTAACGGTCTAGCCTTAGACTTTGTGCTGATGAATTACGAAGGTCATCACTACAGGGCATTCTACTTTCTCCACCCTCTCCTTTTTTTATTTTTTATATTTTTATTTGCCAGAAGGTGCTTGTGCTTGCTGGAGAGAGACAGAGAGAAAGAGAGACAGAGAGAAAAAGTAAGAAATCACACCTCGGGGGATGGCCACCCTCAGGCCCTTCTCCATTCTCTGGGGATTTGGGGCACACATACAAAGGCTCTCAGCATGAGTGTCTAGCCACCAGGTCCGGGATTTGAACTGCAGAGCTGGCTACGTGGGATTCAGCACATTAATGCCGGGTCACCTGTTGGTTCCTCCCCAAGTACTGCTGACTCATTTGCTGGCCAGTTCACTGGTTTATCCAGAAATATTTGGGGGCCTCGAAAACGTTGCAGGCACTAAACCAGGGATGGAATGCATTGTACACGTACCACCAGCCTTAACTTCCGGGGTGATAGGGCTAGGTGGGGGTGCAACAGTAAAACGTGCTCTTCATGGCTGACCCACATGGGAGGTTCCCAGTTCAGGTCCAGAGACCCGTGATGCCGTGATCCTGGGCTGGCCGAGGCTGAGGGTGCACCGTGGCATCAGGACCCTGCGGGGTGCTGCCTTTCTCTGTCTCTCGCTCACAGAGGAAAGCGGAGTCGTTAGTGAGGGCAGCTGCAATGCAGGGCCTGGAGGACAGAGGAGTGGTCCGGGCAGCACAGAGAGAGGGGAGTGAACGGTGGTGGGCAGCCCAGACCAGGTGCCAAGATGCAGGCAGAGGGTCAGCAGCCCAGGAAGGCAGAGGGCTGGACGAGAGGTGACAGGAAGGGCCGGTAAGTGAGCACAGGGTTTGCCACCCTTGGAGGGGATACCGTCGCAGGCTTTGGCTGCTTGGTTAGAGTGGCAGCCGCACCCGTGAGGACAGAGGCCGGGCCAAAGCAGGCTGAGGAAGGTGACGAAGGGACCAGCCAGCAAGACAGCTCTCGGGAATATGGCCGTGCTGGGGAGGAGGGCACCACAGGTAGAGCAGAGGCCTGCAGCATGGGGGGAGGGTTGTGGTATTTTTGTAGCTGTTGTTTTAGTTTTTGCTGTAGTACCTTTGCTCCCTAGAGAGTGAGAAAGGGATGAGAAAGCACCCCCTGGGGGGATGGCCACACTGCAATCTGGGTCACACCATGTGCCCAGTGTGATTTTTAAGCCACCAGTTCCAGGACTCGAACTGTGCAACCAGCCATGTGGGATCCAGTGTGTTAAGCTCCATGCCACTTGCTAGCTGGGGTTTTAAAGCTGAGAGACATGAATGTGTGTAAATGAGAAGGCGCTGACTCGTCCCTGCACTGGGGTCGGATATATGGCATACTGTCCTACGCATCCGACACGGATCGACCCAGGCCACTCCCTCCCACAGATGGGGAGACTGAGTCGGATGGCTAAGTCACATACCCGGGATTGCCCTGCTGGTGTGTCCTGGAGCTGTGATTTGAACTGATGTGGCCTGGCTCCAGAGCCCTCTCAGAAGGCGGTGACCCCAGGAGGAGCTGCAGTCACGGGTGGCGACAGGAGGGATGGGAGGTAGGGCATGTGAGGGCGCTGTAGCCAACGGATGAGGGCCCTGTCCGGTGACTCACACAGTCAGACCACATGGAGGTCCCTAGAGCTGAAGATCCCGGAGTGGGAGGGCCTTGCCCTGAGGAAAAGCGGGGGCAGGCCTAGGGCCTGGCCCAGGGCCCGAAGAACCACTGGCCGTGGGAGGACAGAATGCTGCCCGGAGAGGCCAAAAGGACGGACTGAGGCTGCAGAGAGAAGAGATGCAGGCCACGTGGCTGCTGGCTGCTAGGTGAGGGCCAAGGAGAGCCCAGGGTGGGAAGGGAGACAACCGTGGGTGAGCTGCAGTGACTGCTGACTGGAAGGATGGGGGTGGTGGGTGGAGTGGGCCTCTGTCCCCCCAGCCTCTCAACATCTGCAGCCCCCCCCCCCCCCCACACCCCCCCCCCCACACACACACACACACCACTGCCGCCCAGCAGTCCTCCTAAAGCAGCCGTTGGTCAAGTCATGGCTGAAGGAATTCCATGGCGAGCACTCCACTCTGTCCTCGCCCCCACAGTGCCATACTGGAAATCCACGCTAGCACGAGGAAAGGAAAAGAAATAAAGCCACGGGGGGCTGGAAAGGAAGCCGTGAAGCCGTTCTTACTCACAAAGACATGATTTCTGCATAGCCTCAACGAGCTGTTAGAACTAATAAGCGGGGGTCTTTTTCTAGGATAACGAAAAAGCAGAAATTTAAAATTTGAAAACATATTTATAATAGTACCCCCAAACACCAGATAATAGGTAAACCTAAGACAATGAAAGAGCAACATGGGACCAGGAGGTGGCACAGTAGTTAAGGTGCTGCACTCCCATATGGCTGGTCAAGATTGGAGTCCCAGACCCGGCAGCTCTCTCTCTCTTCTCATTTCTCTCTAGTGAGCACACGTGCCACATCATCAATTTAAAAAATAATAATAATAAATAAAATTAAGCAAATAATTTAAAAATCAAAACAAGTAAAAATAAACTAGATAGAGCAATATGGCCAGCAGGTGTCACGGAGGTTAAGGTGGCACCTGACTGACTGTGCAGTTCAAGTCCTGGACCCGTCGGCTTGAAAAACTCATCAGGCTTATGCGTGTGCATGCCCAAAAAGCCAAGAGGAGAATGGAGGAGCAAGGATTGGGATGTGGCCATTCTCCCAGAGGTGCGTTCTCATTTTCTCTCTCCCTCTGTCTCTCCAGCAAGTACACACACCCTATCACAAACCAGAAAGAAAAAAGAAGATGGTTCACCAGAGGCACCCAGTGCAGCTTCACCCCAAGAAGGAAGAAAAACAAACCAAATAAATAAACAGAATAAACAGCCACATTTAAACCAGAGGGAAGAGGAGAAAACAGCAGAGTTCAAGAGACTGGAAATGAGAGGACTCTGGGACACTGTGACAGGTGAGGAGACATAATGCAGGGGCACTCTGCACTCGGAGAGGCTCAGAAGCTCACGGGAGCGCCCCTCCATGGGGGAGAGGTAGCCGGGACACACCCCTCAGCCCCTACTTTCACCTCTGTCCCTAGTACTGCCCCCAACGACAGAGGCGAAGGATTCTGAGTGTGTCCCACCCCATCCACAACTTGGCATTTGAGTACACTCCTCCCCTCCCCCAGAAGAGACAGGAATCCAGACGTTTATCATTGCCCCCTCAGAGTCTGGGAGATCTGTGCTCCCCTTGTCTGGGCTCAAGACTTTGAAAACATCCCCTCTCTCCTAGAGCCCACAGCAGTGTGGCTTGTCAAGACCTTCTTTGGGAGAGTGCTTGAGCAGAGGGAAGGGTTGGGGTGGCTGGCAGAAAGGACACCCAGGATATGACCACTCCTTGGGGAGGAGAAAGTAGTGACCCATAGGCCCCTGTCCTCTGCTCCTTGGAGCTGAGCACTACCCCAAGGGCCCACCCCAGGGGCTGCTGCATTGGGCTTCTGCTGCTGTGGGATCCCATCTGTCCTACCACACACACACACACACACACACACACACACACACACCTCCCTCCCATTTGGACAGAGCTCTACCACAATGGCCAGCCATGACTCTTCAGATTGGGTGAGGATGAGACTCAGTCCCAGTGCACAAAGGCAGGCGTCTAGTGGGCCATTCCCTCCAGCCACTGAGGGAGCCCTCCTCCATTACCCTACACCCCATGCGTACAGTTGCAGTAAGCCCAGGGCGAGCTTCAGCCTCTGTGGGACTCCCCCATCAACACCTCCACAGCTTGACACAGATCAGCCGCCCAAAGCTAGGACACAGAAGGCAGAATTCAGGGTGGCAGCTCTCTCCAACCTGGATCCTCCCCGCCACAGCTCCAGCTTTGACCAGCCCTGCAGCCAGAGGCAGCCCTGCCCCCTGAATACCGAAAGAGGAGAGGGATTCAGTAACAGCAGGGAAAGGCAGGCCCTTCCTCCAGCTCCAGGGAGGACACACCATCAGCATCTAACCATCTAAGCACCCCAATGACACAACCACCAACCAGCACCTACATCTCTCTTGGTGGAACCCATTTAAGGCAGGGTACTTTACCAGCTTTTGGGTGATACCCACACAGGTCCCTCATCTGGAAGAGGCCTCAATGCCCTACTCAGAGACTGAACTCGATAGATACCACCTCACAGGGCAACAGCTACCATCATTAGAGGTAAATCTACAGGCAGGACACTAGTTCATAATCCTAGACTTACCCAGAGATGGAAAACCCAGCCCTGAGGGTTCTCACCACAGGTAACTGAAAATATACAGACTTCACCACTGAGTCCAAGCACAGGCAAAGCCAATACCAATACCACTATCCATAGCCATGAGAAGTGAGTATTCCACCAGCTGCCCAAATGTCAACTCAGGGACACAAGAAATAAGAAGAAAAAAAACCCTTCTCCAAAGGGAAGCACTAGTCCCTCACTAACAATTGACAAAACAAAGGAAATCACTGAGACATGGGTACAAAACTCATAATATTGGTCATAAGGAAACTCAGTGACATGCAACAAAATTCAGACAACTACAGGAGATCAGAAAAAAATTAATGATATGTATGAGCATTTCAACAACAAAATAGACAACTTTTTAAAGAATTAAACAAATTCTGGAAATGAAGAACTTAATACAAGAAAATTTTAAAAGTCGGTAGAAAGGGGACCAGCAGTTAGCATAATGGCTACGTCGCTGGACTCCCATGTAGTCGACTGTGGTTTGAGTCCCGGACATGGTGGCTTAAACTCATGCCGGGCGCGTATGCGTGCGTGCCCAAGATCCCGAGAGGAAAATGGAGGAGAAGGGATTGCGGCATGGCCATCCCCTGGGGGGGGAGGGGATTTCTCACTTTCTGTCTCTCTGTCCCTCTCTGTCTTTCTGGCGAGCACACACGCCCTATAGCAAAAAACCTCTCCAAAAAAAGAAGAAAGAAAGTAGTAAAAAGTACCAGCAACAGATTAGGTCATGCAGGACAAAGAATCTCTGAATTTTAAGATGTAGCATTTGTAGTAACTCAAATATTCAAAAAGTTAGGGGAAAAAGCTGTTAAAAAAAAAAAAAAGAAAGCAGCTTCCAAAAACTAATGGACACTGTTGAATATCTGCATAACGGGTATTCCAGGAGGAGAGGAGAAGTGGAAATAGCATAAAAAATGTATTCCATAAAATGTAACTGAAAACTTCCCAACTCTAGGAAAAAATACAGCTATCCAGGTCAAGGAAATTCAAAGGACACCAAATAGAGTTAACATAAAAAGATCCTCTCCAAGGCAAATCATAGTCAAACCATCAAAATCAAAGACCAAGACAAAGATGGGACCAGCAGATGGCATAATGATTACATTATTGGACTCCCACATAGTTGACTGTGGTTTGAGTCCTGGACCTAGTAACTTAAAACTCATGCCAGGCACATGTGAGTGTGTGCCCAAAATTCCAAGAGGAGAATGGAGGAAAAGGGATTACGGTGTGGCCATCCCCTCTGGGGGGTTATTTCTCACTTTCTGTCTCTCTGTCTCTCTCTGCCTCTCCAGCAAGCGCATGTGCCCTATAGCAAAAATCTCTCTAAAAAAAAAAAAAAAAGAAAAAATATTTAAAATGTTTAGAGATAAACGCCAACTTTCCTATAAAGTTTATCCCATCAGACTAACATCAAACTTCTTAGCAGAAACCTTACAGACCAGAAGGGAATGAGACAATATATTCAAAATACTGAAGGAAAAACACTTTCAGTCAAGAATACTATATCAGGCAAATTATCCTTCAAAATAGAAGAAGAAATAAAATCATTTCCAGACAAACAAAAACCGAAAGGATTCACTAATACTAGACCAACTTTTCAAGAAGTATTAGTGAAGGTATAGAACATACCACTAGAATAACTACATGAAGAAGAAAAGAGAAAAATTATTCAGGCCAGCCTCAGGTGGCCTGGTGGTTAAGGCAGCTGGATCCCACATGACCAACTGCACATTTTAAGTCTTGGACCCAGTGACTTGAGAAACACACTGGGCACATGTGTTTGTGCACCCAAAATCTTAAAAGGAGGGAGAGATTGAGGAGAAGGCATTGCAGTGTGAACATCCCCCATGGGGTGTGCATTCTTCTCTACCTTTCTCTGGTGAGCATGTGCACCAGCTAGAAAAGAAGAAAAAAGATTCACTCCCTACCACAATGGAAAAGTTCCACACAGCAAAGACAAATAATAACAGAAGAAAAAGAAAATAACAAAGTACAAAACAACTAAAATCCAAGCAACAAAACAGCTAAGTCTGTATGTTTCAACAATAACACTGAATGTAAATGGGTTAAACTCTCCAATCAAGAAAGAATTGATTTAAAAAATAAAATAAAATAAAAACACATAACCCTTTTCATGCTATTTACAAGAAACTCACTTCATCAATAAAGACATACATGGATCAAAAGTGAAAAGTTGTAGGCCAGCTGACGGTGTGCTAGTTAAGGCAACTGGATCCCACATGGCTAACTATGTGGTTCAACTCTCAGCCCTGACAGCTTAAAAAAGACATGGGGTGGGACCAGCAGTTGGTGTAATGGCTATGTCACTGGACTCCCATGTAGTCAACCAGGGTTCAAGTGGGGCTGGGGGTGGATTGCAGCATGAAGACCTTGTTGTAGTGCCTCCTTCTCTGTATCTCTGTCTCTGCCTCTCTCACAGAATAAATAACCAAATTAATTTAAAAAAAAAAAAAAAAAACTCAGGCAACCCATAGCCTAAGGAAGCTGGATCCTACATGGTCTACCTCAGGTTCAAGTCCAGCCCCATAGCCTGAAAAACACATGTGTATGTGAGCCCCAAATCCTGACAGGATGGATAAGTGGAAGGGATTGAGGGGTACTTTCTCTCTTTACCGCTTTCTTTCTCCATCTCTCTCTCTCTCTGGCAAAGGCACACACCTCTGGCAACTAAAAAAGAAAAAATAAATCTTACTCTGTGTCCTAGGTTTCTACTACACCAAGACTAAATTTTCCCCTAGACTTTCTGGAACTTTTAATCTGGCCAGCTCCAAGCAGTCACCTTGATTGCCCGGCCCCCTAGGCTCTAATGAGACCTGTTTCCTTACAACCCTGCACAGATTTCAGGCTTTCCTGCCTGCCTGCACAGGTGTGCCCTCACCTGCAATGCCCTCCTCTCTGTCCTCAGCCCATCCCAAACCAAGTGGCAGGTCCTACTCTCCAGTGGGCACCTCCCTGAACCCTCAAGTTCTTCCGACTCCGTGAGACACAACTTAGAACCGGCCCCTTTCAGAGTGTAATTCTGATTCCAAGCTCTTATCAGCACATGCTCAGGATGTGGCCGACCACCTCTCTGCCCACCCCACAAAATAACGATACGGGCGACTAGCACACAGCAGGGTCTAGACGCAGCCCCCGCCCCCCACCGCCCCGGGTGAGTGGCTACCGAGCTCCAGGAGGACGCGGGGTCTGAGCTGCGTCTGAAGAGCCGGGCCTGGAAGGACTAACGGCACCATCAGGCCAAAGGCCGCGCACTAAGCGCGCAAAGGTCCGGGAGGTGAGAGGTGACTGCCCGCGGCCCCAAGCGTGGCGCCCGCCTACCTTGCCCTCGTAGGAGCGCTCAGCCGCGCTCACCGACGTGGCCTGGATCATCAGCAGCAGGAGGAGCGGCACCAGGAAGCCCACGGCGGGT